TATGGTGCATTCATGCAATACCTGCAATTGGATTCTATGCATTCCGGTTTGAAGAGTAAGAAAGATATTGTACCAATTAGATTTGATCAAACTTCAATTCTGGGTGTAATTAGGTAGAAAACATAATTTACGAAGTTTTCGTGATCTTATGACGAATATTCAACTGCGCCAATGTTCGAAACTACTACGTCTACGAGGTAAATACGTACCTACTCAATATTGTATTCACAGAAAAACTTTTACGTTGAAAAATTACATCTATGATGATAATACTTCAATTACTTATTTTGAGTTTACTAAAATCTTAAAATCATAACTTAAGAATTTTTGTATTGGTGTAAGGTCACTCTGAGTTCACCCAAGTGGTAGTTTGTGGCAGACCTAGGCAGGATGGTGGTACCTATTCGAAATCCAGATATGCCAGTCTGTGGCAGTATAGACTGCAGCCTATTTATTCTCCGTTGTTATGATTAGTCGCCTTTTATAAAATTTACGAGAAGAGACAGTATGGTACTACTACATGGTACACAATACAACCAATAAATCGCCATCGCTGCACCACTCTTAATTTAGTGATATGGGGATCTTACAGATGTCATGTGCGGAGACAACATCAATGGCCATAAACTCAATGTAATACGCAGACAACTGCGTTAATTTTGCATCTGTAGCCAATCCTACTGTCAATAGATTGTTCTTGATATGTCTGGCTAGAGGATACTCCTTCCCTGAACTGGTCAACCTGGGCTCAAAATCTGGAAGAAATTTTTTCAGTGTTGTTTACATTCTTAATACATCAGTAGTCCTAAAAAATTTTGATATTGAATTGCATACGAAATTTATACCTTCACGAAAATCGGCGGGCAGGATTCTGAAAGTTGGTGTATGGTATGCTCCCCGGGTAGGATAATAAAGGTTATTGCAGCTACCGTCTGTACGCCTCCATTCGGTCTCGTCACAAGCCTGAATATTATTCGCACATGTACTGAAAAACAAACTTAGCCTCTAACAATTCAGTTTTTAACATATTTTGAGAACAATAGTGTTTTGTGTTTGATGGTCTTAGAGATTGCTATTGAAAGGCTTATTACATTTGCCTGAATTTAGTCGACTGAATTCAGGGCATAGTTTTTCAAGTACAAATAGTTTTGACATAAAGTTGGCCCACTTTTGGGCATTGTCCTTTAGAAGCTTCTGATTACACTGTTCTAAATTCAGTTACTGAATCAATTGTCAGTTTAAACGCGACGAAGTAAGACGTGTCGTGTGCGTAAGAAGATGGCCCCAGTATTGTCTAGACAACAACAAAATTTTAATTTTTATATTTTCCAGAATTTCTGTAAATTAAGTTGTCTGTTGTCTGGAAGAGATCTCTTTTAGCGATAAGACCGCCTATTGTACAAATGTGTCTGCTTTTTGACTGTTTTTTGAATGTAAATCGTGTTTTGGTGTGCCATAAAGTGTCTTCTCTCTTTCTCTCTCTCTCTCTCTAAAAACTGTTTTTTTTTTTAAATAATTTCTAATTTTAAGAAAGCGACCTTCTCAGCAAATCTCTGTCTATATAGCAACTCGCCCTAGATTCGTTTGGTTATCGCGTTCAGGCAAACGTTCAGTTGTGTCCTTAGACATTTTTTTAATTACAAAATATACCTTCAAATCGCGACAGAACAGCTGTTGGGCTAAAAGAGAGAGAGAGAAGGAGAGCGTATGCTTTATTATATTAAAAAAAAAAAATTGCGACATTAAATACAAAAAAAGGACAATTGGCGGTTTTATCGCTAATAGGCTTATTACACTTGGCTGAATTCAGACGACTGAATTCAGTCGCTACTGGATTCAGTCAAGTGTAATAGCATTAAGTAAGTTAGTCTACTGAATTCAGTAGCAAGGATGTTTTCTGACTGACTGAATCATTTAGAAGCCTAATTAGAAACGCATTTAGGAAGGCGTAATCGCATTTAGTTACTGAATGGTTTCATTCAGTCGTCCCGTAGCTCTCCGTGCGTAAGGACGTTTTAGTTTGTTTCTTTGCTTCCGAATAAAAAGTATTAATTTCAGTCGCCTTTATTTAATGTGCCAGACATTTATAAATAGCCCGACATGTTTCAGGGATAGTTTTTGTCATCAGGGGTTGGGATATTGAATTAAAATTGAACAAAAATTTAATTCCTCAAAAAAAAAAAAAATAATATCGGTGAAGAAATATTTATTGCTAACATTCCGCAGAGCAATAAATTAATACTTTTTATTCGGAAGCAAAGAAACAAACTAAAACGTCCTTACGCACGGAGAGCTACGGGACGACTGAATGAAACCATTCAGTAACTAAATGCGATTACGCCTTCCTAAATGCGTTTCTAATTAGGCTTCTAAATGATTCAGTCAGTCAGAAAACATCCTTGCTACTGAATTCAGTAGACTAACTTACTTAATGCTATTACACTTGACTGAATCCAGTAGCGACTGAATTCAGTCGTCTGAATTCAGCCAAGTGTAATAAGCCTATTAGCGATAAAACCGCCAATTGTCCTTTTTTTGTATTTAATGTCGCAATTTTTTTTTTTTAATATAATAAAGCATACGCTCTCCTTCTCTCTCTCTCTTTTAGCCCAACAGCTGTTCTGTCGCGATTTGAAGGTATATTTTGTAATTAAAAAAATGTCTAAGGACACAACTGAACGTTTGCCTGAACGCGATAACCAAACGAATCTAGGGCGAGTTGCTATATAGACAGAGATTTGCTGAGAAGGTCGCTTTCTTAAAATTAGAAATTATTTAAAAAAAAAAACAGTTTTTAGAGAGAGAGAGAGAGAAAGAGAGAAGACACTTTATGGCACACCAAAACACGATTTACATTCAAAAAACAGTCAAAAAGCAGACACATTTGTACAATAGGCGGTCTTATCGCTAAAAGAGATCTCTTCCAGACAACAGACAACTTAATTTACAGAAATTCTGGAAAATATAAAAATTAAAATTTTGTTGTTGTCTAGACAATACTGGGGCCATCTTCTTACGCACACGACACGTCTTACTTCGTCGCGTTTAAACTGACAATTGATTCAGTAACTGAATTTAGAACAGTGTAATCAGAAGCTTCTAAAGGACAATGCCCAAAAGTGGGCCAACTTTATGTCAAAACTATTTGTACTTGAAAAACTATGCCCTGAATTCAGTCGACTAAATTCAGGCAAATGTAATAAGCCTTTCAATAGCAATCTCTAAGACCATCAAACACAAAACACTATTGTTCTCAAAATATGTTAAAAACTGAATTGTTAGAGGCTAAGTTTGTTTTTCAGTACATGTGCGAATAATATTCAGGCTTGTGACGAGACCGAATGGAGGCGTACAGACGGTAGCTGCAATAACCTTTATTATCCTACCCGGGGAGCATACCATACACCAACTTTCAGAATCCTGCCCGCCGATTTTCGTGAAGGTATAAATTTCGTATGCAATTCAATATTAAAATTTTTTAGGACTACTGATGTATTAAGAATGTAAACAACACTGAAAAAATTTCTTCCAGATTTTGAGCCCAGGTTGACCAGTTCAGGGAAGGAGTATCCTCTAGCCAGACATATCAAGAACAATCTATTGACAGTAGGATTGGCTACAGATGCAAAATTAACGCAGTTGTCTGCGTATTACATTGAGTTTATGGCCATTGATGTTGTCTCCGCACATGACATCTGTAAGATCCCCATATCACTAAATTAAGAGTGGTGCAGCGATGGCGATTTATTGGTTGTATTGTGTACCATGTAGTAGTACCATACTGTCTCTTCTCGTAAATTTTATAAAAGGCGACTAATCATAACAACGGAGAATAAATAGGCTGCAGTCTATACTGCCACAGACTGGCATATCTGGATTTCGAATAGGTACCACCATCCTGCCTAGGTCTGCCACAAACTACCACTTGGGTGAACTCAGAGTGACCTTACACCAATACAAAAATTCTTAAGTTATGATTTTAAGATTTTAGTAAACTCAAAATAAGTAATTGAAGTATTATCATCATAGATGTAATTTTTCAACGTAAAAGTTTTTCTGTGAATACAATATTGAGTAGGTACGTATTTACCTCGTAGACGTAGTAGTTTCGAACATTGGCGCAGTTGAATATTCGTCATAAGATCACGAAAACTTCGTAAATTATGTTTTCTACCTAATTACACCCAGAATTGAAGTTTGATCAAATCTAATTGGTACAATATCTTTCTTACTCTTCAAACCGGAATGCATAGAATCCAATTGCAGGTATTGCATGAATGCACCATAATGTTTCGCGCCGGAAGTGGTCAGATTGATGGTACCTAATGAGAGCTCTTACTTCAAGAACAATTATTCTAAACTTAACACAGTACAGAAATTGATTCCAAAATCGTATTAGCAGTAATTATCGTAAAGCCAATTTCAGTGAATTACGTCGTGACTAAGCCTTATTGCTGTAAAGAAGAGGGAAAATCTGATCCTATGTGTGCTCCTAACTTCATACCAGAATTCGACCCGGTTCACCGATTTTCGGGGCACAAGTGCTTTAACATGACAAAACCTATGACCTTCCAAAATCTGGGATGCATTGAGAATGGCACGACTCCTAGTCGAGTAAGTAAATATGTAACCGTCAAGGAAATAATCGGTTATCACTAGGTACTGGTCTACCATGGTTTCTAATAAAGAAAACACTATGCTAAAGGCAGAAGAGGTGACACTGGGCTTCCAAAAACTTTTTTTTTCTCCACAATGTTTTCGTACATGATAATGTCATATTTGGTGCTTTGAACACGGAATTTAACACCAAAACGAATACAGCACGTAGATTTTAAATATTATAATAATAATTATAAGAAAAAGGTTAGTGGAATGCTGCTCTTAGAAACCGATGTAAATACACTACGGACCGTCGAGTTTACCCGGTTTTTGATGACTGGGTGAAACATGGCGCAGGATGCCTCACCTTTCGTCTGGTGCAAGTGCTGATTAGGCACGGATACTTTGGGAAGTACCTGCACCGGATAGAAGCTGAGCCGACGACGAGGTGCCACCACTGTGGACACGACCTGGACACGGCGGAGCATACGCTCGCTGTCTGCCCCACTTAGGAGGTGCAGCGCCGTGTCCTGGTCGCAAAGATAGGACCAGACTTGTCGCTGCCTGGCGTCGTGGCATCGATGCTTGACGGTGACGAGTCCTGGAAAGCTATGCTTGACTTCTACGAGCGCATCATCTCGCAGAATGAGGCGGCGGGGCGGGTGAGGCAAAGTTCTCCTCACTACGCAGAAATCCACTGCCATCCAACAGGGGGCCGGGACCTGGGTCCCATCCGTGACCCGGCCCCTAAATAGCTTCGGGCTCCACCCGCTTTATGCGGGGAGGGACCCAGGCGTGGGGCGGGGTGCTTTATACCGTGATCGTAATAGGAAGCCGGGGGATGGTAGACCGCGTTCCCCCGACCGCTCCAGGGGAAGGTGCAGCGCGGCGCCGTCTAGGCGGGATCCCGTCCCATCGACCGAGGGGACCAGTCGTCGTGTTGCCGGCGGCCATCGGTCCGGCGTCTGGGCGACGGCGGGATGGATGTAAAATGCTCTGCTTAAACCCTGTCCCGCCGTCTCAATAACTTCGATTGGGATCCGGCTCGGTGTCCGGGGTAGGGCGCCGGCTATGAGCGGCAGGAGTTTTTAGTCAGGTTCAATTTTTTTTTTATTGCTTAGATGGGTGAACGAGCTCACAGCCCACTTGGTGTTAAGTGGTTACTGGAGCCCATAGACATCTACAACGTAAATGCGCCACCCACCTTGACATATAAGTTCTAAGGTCTCAGTATAGAGTACAACGACTGCCCTAATATTCAAACCGAAAGGCATTACTGCTTCACGGTAGAAACAAGCAGGGTGGTGGTACCTACCCGCGCGACTCACAAAAGGTCCTACCACCAGTAATTACGCAAATTATAATTTTGCGGGTTTGATTATTATTCGTATCGTATGTCGTATCACTCTTGTCAGAGCGGTCGTGGTCGTCATCCAGCATCATTGTTGTGGGCAGATGTTAAGCGCCTCACGAGCAATCACCACTTTTATTTTATTACACGATGTGTGGATTCACTGTGGATGTCAATTGTGAACGGTTGTTGAGTACGTATTTCATTAGAAAAATTGGTACCGGTAACTGCCACTTACCACACCCGCTGCGCGAATGGGGATCCCCCTAATGGTACTCGACGCGTTAGTCGATCATTTCGCTATCGATATTGTCGCTCCGCTAACGCCGACTCACTGCCCGCTAGACATCGCGCTACGCCCGGATATATTCGACATAGCGTTATTAAAAAACATATACATATAGATTGCAAACCCAGTGCACGCTCAGCTGTCAATCCGCGGATGCTGTTCATGCAGACCAGACAGTGAGATGATAGATCGAAGTTAAAGCTTTGATCAAAGACCTACGTCTTCGCAAGGCCCCCGATTCTGACGCTATATCTAACCGCGTTATTAAACCACCCGTCCAACTCATCGTGATGTTGGCATCTATCGTTGGCATATAGTTGGCATTTTCAATGCCACTATGGCGAACTGTATCTTTCTCGCGGTGTGGAAAGAAGCGGACGTTATCAGCATACATAAACCCAGTAAACCAAAAAATAATCCGACGAGCTACCGCCCGATTAGCCTCCTCATGTCTCTAGGCAAACTGTTGAGCGTCTGCTCTACAAACGACTTAGAGACTTCGTCTCATCCAAGGGCATTCTCATCGATGAACATTTCGAATTCCGTCCAAATTCTTCATGCGTTCAACAGGTGCACCGCCTCACGGAGCACATTCTTGTGGGGCTTAACCGACCAAAAACACTACATGGGAGCTCTCTTCTTCGACATCGCAAAAGCGTTCGACAAAGTCTGGTA